AGCAAGGACGCTACTAGGGGCTCCTGGCAATACTACTAGGAACAAGAAGCTACTAGGAGCAAGAAGCTACTAGGTTGCAGGCCATTCGATGTGAATTCTTTCGGCTTATTCAACGTGCCGTCCAGGATTTGGATGCCCGAGAAGTTGAATTGCCTTCTCCTTGTGTGCTGGGAGAGGCACAGATAATCTGTTGACTTCCTTCAGTTCTTACATTTTCCTTTTGGTGTTCACTCAAGTTTGCTCCTTCCCTTGTTTATTGAGACATGACGGTTTGATAGGCAGAACAATTGCAGTCGTCGCACACCTCTATTCAGATGCGTGTCATCAGGCCAGGCCTGAAACAAAAGGCTTAGCCGACAAGGCTCAAACAGGACAAGTGTGGACAAGTGAGGTCGGACAGGATTCGATCGAAACACGCAATGGCCTCCACCCTAGTAGCTTCTTGCTCCTAGTAGTATGGCCAGGAGCGCCCCTAGTAGCGTCCGATCGCTCTGTTCGTAGCGATGGCCTGCTGCCAGGTGTTCTGAAGGCATTTGAGCGCCACTCTGGGGCCGAGCGGTTGTGCTTCGGCAGTTTTTCAGTTAACGGCGCTCCCTCTCCCTCTCTCCCTTCCCGCCTCTTGCTCTGAAGGCATTTTCGGGAAAAAAAACAAAGAAACAAAGGTCTAAAGGCCTAGTAGTGATGGCCTCCTATACTCTGTCGATTTTGTCAACTCTCTCCCCCTCTCTCCATCTCCTTGCTCCAGCCCTTCTTCCTCCCATGCGGAACGCATGTGGATAATAGGGAGGGCGGTAGCAATATGCGAGCCAGCGGGCCCCGGAAGAGCATTGAAAACAACAAATAGATCCGTTTCAGCTCAGAACTGCTCCACATGTTGCCTTCGCATCCTTCAGCATCCGCAAGCTGCTCTGTACAGAAGGGTCTAGACGAAAGACGAATTGAACGGAAAAGCGAGGCAACGTGCGAAGACGAAGAGCGAGTCGCGTTGTTTCGCTTTTGCCCGGAAAAGCATTTCATTTGTGCACACGGACCAAGAGTGCCTCTCACAGGCTGTTCAGATAGCTCTGACTGAAGGAGCGAGTGGCAGACCCAGATTGGGACAAGGAAGGATAAGGGACAATCCCGGTCCACCACCTCTACTAGACGAGGCATTGTTTTTCCCGCACACAGCCTCACGCACATAGCGTGGACACAGTGATGGCCTCCGACCTAAGAGTGATGACCTCCAACCTAGAAGCGATGGCCTCCGACCTAGAAGCGATGGCCTCCGACCTA